GATAGATTGATTATAAAAGGCCTGGTTGAGAGATCAAAGCAGACTTTTAGCAGGCGAGCGGCTGGCAGGACATGTTGAAGACATGCACCTTGGTGGCATAAGGAAGGGTGCTCACGTCCTTGCTATAAATCTTCATGTTCTATCCCAACCTTGTTCTTCAAGTTGAAAACAACCTACATAACTACCAGTCACAGTGCTATACCACACACCAACTCTCTGAAAGGCAGTTTGGCCTTGTTCCTGAGACACCTGAGAACAGGAATGCCCATGTGCAGAATCTATCCTGAGTTCATGAAAAATGTGCAAAACATTTCCTGACAATAAAAGCTCCACTAAGCCAGATATGGTAACACAAACCCATGTCCCTGGTACGTGGAGGCTGAGAGAGGAGAATCACATGTTCAAAGCCATCTCGAGCTAGATGACTAGAACTTGTATCAAAGCAATAATGCCAATAAAAGCTCACTTTTAGCATAGTTTGTAGACATGAAAAGCTGAAAATCCTAATACTGCCCAACAATAATGGGCAAAGTACATTAAAATATAAATATTTATTATGAAGACATTTAAACCATACCACTGCAGTGAGGTATCAAAAGCTTTGGCATCACAGGCAGAAAACAGTAAAACATGACAGAGACAGTAAATAGCCAGGCTGGCTAACTCACTGGGTTCCTGTTAAAGAATGACAATGAGAACAGTTTAAGGAGGATCCTAACCACCAGGTCACTGGACAGTGATGCCCTTATAAAACAAGCAAACTGTATAAGTACCTCACGCTAACCGATTTTGCCACTGGCTGCTCTTTGATCACCTCCCCCTGAGGGGGGAGCAGCCTTACCAGGGCACAGAAGATGACAATGCAGCCACTCCTGATGAGATCTGATAGACTAAGATCAGAAGGAAGGAGAGGAGGACCTTCCCTATCAGTGGACTTGGGGAGGGACATTCGTGAAGAAGGGGGAGGGAGGGTGGGATCAAGAGGGGAGGAGGGAGGGGCTGATGGGGGATACAAAGTGAATAACGTGTAATTAATAAAAGTTAAAAAGAAAAAGGTCATGTGAAGGGAGAAATAAACAAAGCAGGAGGAGATTGCTTACCAAGAACAAGATTGGCTAATGACAAAACTACAGCAGAAATTTTGAAAATGTCAAATAGGAAGATAAGGACAAATGAGGTATTGATCTGATAGAAAGCACTTGAAAAATACAAGCAAACAGAAGCAGGAGGAGCATGATCAAACTTTCCCAAGTGAGTAGCAAATTCGTTATAAAACAGGCTTAGGTGGGGCTGTGGAGACAGTTCAGTGGTTAAGAGCATGTATTGCTCTTGAAGAAAACCACCCATGTCGGGAGGCTCTAAACTCAAGATACATACAGTTACACATTCTCTCTCTCTCTCTCTCTCTCTCTCTCTCTCTCTCTCTCTCTCTCACACACACACACACACACACACACACACACACTTTTCAAAAAATGTATCTTTAAAACAGGTTTCAAAAAAAACATCTTCTCAGTAGAAAAGTTTCATGAATATTAGAAGTGGCGTGAGAAGAACCTGCCCAGGGATAGGTATATCCACGCCGTACATACAGTTTTAGAAATCTGTACAGGAGCCTGAGGAGGACAAACTTGCTTCTTTACTCAGAACAGAAGTTCTACAATGAGTGTGATTCACAATCTTAAACTTTTGGCTACGATGCGTCATTGTCAACCCTTGCTGCTCTGGTTCAAGGCACATTTCCATAATAGTCATTTGCTATCGAAGCTGATGTGGATGAGGGGTCGTGCATGTGCCCTCCCTGTAGGTTATATTACTATATCAGGATCCACAGCACGCCATAGCTTTCAGAAGTAGTTATAAAGTACCCTAAATTATTCCCAGAACACATCTATAAAGTATTTGTTCGATGTGCTTATGTTAAAAACGTTGTCAGTTGTAATGCCCTGGAAGATTCTCAGGTTACAAGCCATCCTATTTGTATTTGACAAAGCTCTTACTGTTTTGGGTCAGAGTAGGTTATGCTGTGGGGAACAAAAATCATTATTTTTTTTTCTAATAAATAAATTACTCACCTATATCTCATGTATCACTCAGGCTAGCCAGTATTGAATGCTTAAATAATAGATAACAAAAAGCTCCATTCATTTATTAATCATGTCCCATCATTTGTGTATGAGGATGTGAGCGTGTATGTGCTGTGGGTGTGTGTTTTCTTTTAGACTCATGAGGGTGGCGGACTCTACAGTAGTCATCTGAGACTAAAGTCACGCCTCTAAGATCAGTGATATTTTGCCAAGTTGAGGAAAATGCCTGGTGCTGAGAGCACGTTCCAGGGGTCAAGATCCAGGGGGCTGAGAAACGTGCTAGTAATGTCATTGGGTGCTTCTGAACCCTCTAAGGTAGTGGTTCTCAACCCTTCTAACGCTGAGACCCTTTAATACAGTTCCTCGTGTTGTGATGGCTCCCAACCATAAAGTTGTTTCCTTTGCTACTTCATAACTGTAATCTTGCTAACTGGTCATGAACCATAACGTAAACACCTGACATGTAGAAGATCTGGTATGTGACCACCAAAGGGGTCATGACCCATGGGTTGAGAACCACTGATAGTGAGTTTAAACTAAGAGGTACTAAGCAGGGAGCTTGGGCTGGGGAAATTGGCTCAGTAGTTAAAAACATTTGCTGTTCTTTCAGAGGACCAGGGTTGGGTTCCCAACACCCACATGGTAGCTCCCAACCTTCTCTCAGTCCAGTTACAGGAGGTTTGAAGCCCCCTTCTGGCTTCTTTGGGCAACAGGTTCGTGTGCAATGCACTTACAAAAATGCAAATACAACAATCGTACAGAAAAAAAATGAGTTTTGCTGACTTAGTAATCCAGTACAAAATTTGAATATTCTTCGATGACCGAACAAAGAAATGATACTCGGGATACGATAAAATGGAATATGACTTTAGCCTTGGAAGGGGAGGGGTGCTCCTTCATATCCTATAACATGGGCAAGCCGTGGGGACATTAAGCTAAACAAAATAAAGAAGGTGCCCCAAATCAAATCATTGGTTTCCATTTATATAAGGAATTTAGAGTCGTCCATACAGTAGAGACAGGAAGCAGAATGGAGGGTCCCACGGATGGCAGAATAAAGTGAGGCACAGTTTAATGGGGGTGGCTTTAGGTTGAGATGGTAATCCAGTTCTGGAGGAGTGGACAGAGCCAGTGGTGATGGTTGCACAACAGCACGAATGTTCTAAATGCCATTAGACTGTACACTTTGAAACGGTTAACCAGGAGGCTGGGCATAGATTGGGCAGTAAAGTGCTTGCACACATGTGAAACTCCATGTCTGATCCCCAGAGACTAGGCTAGAAAAAAATGGTAAAGCTGGGCACAGCAGCACACCCTTGTAATCCCAGGACTGCAGATGCAGAGACAGGCAGACCCCTCGGGCTCACGGGGCAGACAGCCTAGACTACTTAGCAAGCCCCAAGAAAGAGAAAGAGAGAGACCCTGCCTCAATCAACAAAGTGGACCTTGCCTGAGGAACAACACCTGAGGTCATCCACTGGTCTCCACACGGAAAAACACACGAATGTACCCACACATACATGTATGCACACAAGAGAGGAGGTAAGGTGAAGGGAGAGGTAGCCATGACAGTTCCTGTCGCCATGAGTCCAGGTTAATAAAGTCAACGACTTTCACACTACCAACACAGCCACACCCAACGTTCCCACACGGAGTTTTCATTTATTTAATATTTAAAGCAAGCAGCAGTGGGCCAAGCCAGGATTCTCGTTCCCACAGAAAGGCCAGCTAAGGTATAGATTACACTACATTCCTCCCAACAAATGACATCTGGACCACGTAAACAGCTGGACCCCGCAATGAGCTGCTGTTGGCACCAGGCCAGAGCGAAGGCAATCAGCCTTTCAGTGATTCTGAAACAGATGGACACCCCCCCCCAACTCCCACTTCATTTGCCCTTCTCTTTGCCCACACCTAGGACAAGCACAAGGCTTGGCTGGAGCTCCAGAGACCCACACCTATTTAAAAGCATATGAGCCTCAAGACCACTTTCTCATCATGAATTGCATCTATTGCTACACTATTTCCCTCTAGGGTTAAAAAAAAAAAATTCTTTTCCTATCTGGAATGTATTGGGGAAAAAAGTACCTGCTCCCATGACTGAGTTAATTGGGTCCTAGAATGTTAGTGTGAACGCCTAGACCTACTCAGTTGCAGACTCCCTTCCACCTTGAGACAATCACTGTTCTCTCTCTCTCTCTCTCTCTCTTTCTCTCTCTCTCCTCTCTTCTTTAAGCAAGCTTCACCAGTAAACTGCAACACAGAGAGGGGCACAGCAGGCTGCCGCACGTGAGCCTTGTTTAAAGAACAGGTCAGCTCCTCGCTGTGAACAGATTTTCCTCTGTGGAAGCAGGTTCGTGTTTACCTTTCAAGTCACAGAAACAAACTCAGGGTCGCCAACATGTGCCACACAGCTGCCGCAGAGCCTGATTTATGTACAAATCTGCATATAATTGTCTTGGCCTCGACGACCCCTCCCTCCCCCAGCTAATTTTTTTCCCCTTTAAATAAAATGGTTTAGTCCAGGGTGCATAAAGCCCTAATTCTAAAGTCATATAATTTTATGGACAAGGGGTGAGGGATAGGAGTGCGGGGAGTTCTTTTGTATAGCACCTGAACTCATTAAAATCCTAAATTCCATAATTTCACGCTACCATGTGCCACAACTGAACAGCCTAATTGCTCACCACCTTTATGAGAACTGCAAATGGGGCAGGAAAACCAGGGAACAGGTGGGAAGGCCACACTGGGGTCTGAGGCCAAGCCCCATTAGGCAATGGTGGCCAGAAGAGAACAGGATGGCTTCATGGAGCAAGAGACAAGCGCTGCCAAAAGTCAGTGAAAGGGCAAGGCACGTGTGAGAACTTAAGATTCCTAACGAGACTCATGAATGAGTCATCGTCATGTACTCACCACACAGCTGTTTGTAAGATTGAGCCCTAAAAAAAAAGAAAATAAGGTAAGAATTAGTGACTAACAATCTTTTTCCTGCCTACAAATTTGCTGGATGCAAATAAGCACTGGACTCCACAATTCCGAATGCGCACACACAGAGACACACATACAGAGTCACACATACAAAGGCACACACACAAAGTTGCGTGGATACCAAGTGACTGAATCTCATTCGGGTCCCTCCTAACAGAATCTGGTGAATCTGTGATCACAGATATGAAAATTCCTAGACACTTAATTCTGCCACAGGTAAAAACCAAAAAAAATTACCACCGGATTCACTGATTCTCAGTGCTTCAGTTGATCGTCTATCTAATTTTCCTCACAAATGACGTGTCTGAAGAAGGCGTTATAGTTTGGTGATTGTGAGAAGTCCAGAAAAATGCAGTGAGGAAGAACTTTCTAGAACATATTCTTTGGACTAGGCCAACTGAGACCTACTGGTCATCAGACCTTGCCAGCCTGCACCCCCTAGGCACAGTCTCCTCCTCCACTTAGGGGAATAGGACGTCCAAAATGCAGCAGTTCACTCGAGTCTCACACCGGAAAATTGGGAGCTCCCGTATTCCACCATAAGCTGAAATAACCATAAGACAGAGGCCAAGTTGCTGAGCTCCATAAGCCCACCAAAATGAAAGGGGTGGCCAGGTATCAAAGCACCAAGGAAGCTGGGAAGGCCACACAGTTAGCAGTGGAAGCTGAGGGAGTGCCGTTCAGAACTAGGCAAAAGGACTTCATCTGAACCAATTAGTAATGTTGAATAGAAAGGGAGGAAGGGAGGAAAAGAGGGAGGGAGAGATGGAAGGAGGGATCTGTTCTCAAGAAAGAAGGTTCTAGAGGCAGGAGTGGTAAAGGAGTAATGCCAGAGAACACAGCTCATGAGTTCTGGTCCTGACTAAAGGGCAGGATGACTTCCAGAAGTCTAGAGTCCTAGAACTATAAACAAGCTCTTACTCTCCAAAGGAACTCATCACAGATGGTGCCTAGATGCAAACAAAGCTTTGGCCAAACTCAGCAGCATCTCCAACATGAACTGTCATGTACTCAGAACACCACTGGGGTTCCCTCTCTAAACCCAAGGGCCAGCATGTTCCAGCTTAGTCCTCTGCAGCGGCCTGGGATCTCTCACCAAGAACATGGTGTCTTGCATTGGGAATGTGCTGGCACAAGGTGAAGGCCAGAGGGATGCAGACTGTGCCAGGCCAAGTCTGGGGGAACAGAGGTCGCTTACCACGCCCACTAATTAGGGAGTGTATCTGATATTTGTGGGACAGCGAGTCCTCCATCTGTTTCTGCTAATTACAACACAAGAGCCAAAATATCAAGTAGAACAAGCCTCTTTTGTTCACCCCCCTTCTGTTTTCTCTCTGCTGTCTTCGGAATCCATTTCCAGGTATCTTGCCTCAGTCAGTACTCCTCACTGACCAGCTCACCATTGCACAAACACTCAGCATCGGACATTGTTCTAGTTAGCACTGACTGTCGCGCTGACACAACTGAGAGTCACCTCAGGAGGGAGTCTCAGTTGATGGATTATCCAGATCACAGTGGCCCATGGACATGCCTGTGAGGTTCCGTCATTATTTTTAATTCGTGTATGAGTGCCTAGCCCACTGTGGGCGGCACCATTCCTAGGCGGGCAATCCTGAGCTTTATGAGAAAGCTAGTTGAGAATAAGCTGGTGAGTACACCAGCAGGCAGAATTCCTCCACGTTTTCTCCTGTACTTCCTTAGCTGTTGAGTGACCTTCCCGGTTAGAAGTGGTGCTGCATGAGAGAGCAAGCAGGGATGCCTTTCAGTTCCAGCCCTAACCTAACCCAGCGATGGACACTGACCTGGAAATTCGAGCCAGATAAACCCATTCACTCACCAGAGCATTTTAGCATAGTGACGAAAATGAAATTACAGCAACCATCTTGCATTTGCCATGCCTTTCAACCCCAGCACGGTTTGATGAGGCACACAGCCCCATTTAGCATTTGAGGAAACAGAGGCTTAGCACAAATGCATCTGATTAAAGCCAACTTCACTGATGCTGGTGTTTTCCATCTGGTCCTCTGCGTTCCTTACCTTCCCCTGCCCCCCTTTGTATCTGTGGGTGTCCTGGTTCCTAAAAGCTGAGGCTTTCTCTTCAGGTGCTTGCCAGGTTTGTATTTACCCAGCTGTCTGTCCGTGGCTCCTTTTGCTCTGCAGAAGCACAATGAATATGAAAGCAGAGCAAACCACGGAGACATAAAGCCTTATCAGTGTGCATGTGTACGCACATGTATGCATGTGTGTGTGTCACAATTATGTCTGCTTCTGTCCGTTCTCTCACTTTTACTTCACCTTTTTCCTGACTCTTACGGGAACTTCAGACTCCCTTCCTCTATGAAAGCCCACGCCTCCCTGCCATGTTTTATAGCATTGATTGTATCCCTGGCATCTTACTTGCATTATTTTATTTAATTTGTGAGGTATGGGGAATTGCAATCTCCATTTGGCACATAGAAGAACCCAGGTTTAGGATGAGCAAAGTCATAATACTCTCAAAGGCCAAACTGAGGTCTCAGTCTGATTTTTTGTGTGTGCATACTCCAATGTGGTATGCATGTAAGCAGAACACCACACTCCCTAACAAGTATAACGTTGTTCCTGTGTATTCTCCCTGAAAGGCAAGGCTTTCCAAAAATTCCAAATTCACCCAGGTGACTCCTGTTACTGCTCCCATACCCCAGACTTCAAGGTTAATCAGACTTCTGGAGAGGAACCCCATGTGCCCACTCCTCTGCTACCTTTTGTCTTGACTTAGTGTCCTTTGAAAGACTCTTTCCCACTCATGGATCCTAGACACAGCCCCTGTCAGATCCCAAAAGAACACTTTTGTCCTCTTCAAAGGTGGACATTGGATACAAGATAATATTCTGAAGTAAAGGACAAGCCACACTGGATGGCAATGTCTTTTTTTTCCCTCCCCAATTAATAGCTTCTTGGATGTTGGAATATGATATAGAGACCAGTATTGCCCCTTCTGGACTTCTATGCCCTTTCTGGTTCCTCCTCATTGGGACATGCCCTAAGACATCAACAATTGGTTCAGCTAGTGTTAGAGAAATGCCTGCCATACCCAGCATTTGCACAGGAGCAAGCATTAATTTACTAGCACAGAACGTAAGTACTGAAGTCTGACCTCCAGGATGAAAATCCCAGCTTTCATCGTTTTCACAAACCTCTCTGAGGTCAGCTTTCTTCATCATTCGGAGTATCAAATGAAATGATGACTATATTTAGTCATGTCACCTAGACTTTCAGACTGCAGCCTATGTCAGGATCACCTAAAGGAGCTTATCATCATCATCATTAAACTTTTAAGTAAGCACACAAAGTAATAGATTTTGTTGTAGCATTTTCCTAATATACCATAATGCTTCATTGCCATCCATCCCTTTCCTCTACTGCCTGCCTCCCATCATCTCTATCCTGGCCCTCCCTCGCCCCAGTTAGAATGGCTATCACCTGAAGGATGGAGCTGAAGCAGACAACGTCCCAGTAGATATGAAGCCCCTGGGTCAGAGGCTATTGTGGAGATCCCTGACAAAGAAGCTCACAAACGAGTCATTCAAACCAAGAACACTGGCAAGGAACACTAAACTACATGCCCCATAAAGCAAGAGGTCTACATGGCAAGTCAGAACAGACTTTCCAGTCCCACTCCACTGCAGTCATATATCAGCCTGTCAAACAGTGGAAATACAAAATGGCTGGGAAGACAGACAAGCTGACCTTCACGGAGAGATGGGAATACCCAGATAACTAAATCAAAGACAAAAAGAAAAGAAATACAGAGGAAGGAAGGAAACCAAGGGGTAGGGGGGAAAGGACAGTAGATGGAAAACCTCCATTTCCCCGGCTTTTCTATCATAGCCAAAAGGAAATACACACACACACACACACACACACACACACACACACACACACACACACTGGCCCTGCATATCAGATGGAGCTTCTGCTTCCAGGGATGCCCTCACTGGATCACCACACATAGGTCTCCTTGTCCCTGTAGAACCCTAAGCATGGGGACCGAAGAACCTCAGCCATAGTCATAAAGAGCCGTTCTCTTTAAACAACCTCTCCCGATGGGCACAGTGGTGCATGCCCGTAATCCCAGCACTCAGGGAAGCAGAGGCAGGCGGATCTCTGTAAGTTTGTGTGTGTGTGTGTGTGTGTGTGTGTGTGTGTGTGTGTGTGTGTGTATACAGCTTCTCCCTCATTTGGAGAGAAGACCACCTCAGAAGAGGGGATGCACACACAGCAGAAAGTGAGAGGGAGGGTGGGAGAGGAGTGGTGAGTAAAGGGGTTGAAATCTTTGGGTGCTACATTCCGGATGTCATTATCACGAACATAGGTAGGACAGTTATGTTTTATAAAAGAACCAGAGGAAGAAACAAATGCAGACTTGGGAAAAGCACTTTCTCTAGAAGCCCAAGCCTATCTCCTCCATTGCCTTTAACCATGGCAGAAATCAGCATCTTGCCATTTAAAGGACCGTGAAACCTGAGTGAGGAGCTGGCTCGTTTCCCAGCTCTCTTTATTACAATTCCTTCTAATTTAAAATTTATTATGAATGCAAACAATAATCAGTTTGTAAATACTGTTTTTAAGTTCACCAGCGCTCTGCCAAGATATTCCTTCTAGGTAACAAGTCTGTGGCTCATTACTCTCTCATTAGCAAAATAGAAATAAAGACGCAAACAAAAAAAAAAAAAAAGGAAAAAAAGAAAAGAAAAAACTCTTTCCAAAGATATTGTTGAAGTCTAATTGCCTACAAGGAATTCTTAATAATGTTTACTAATGCCTTTTCAGCCTTGCCAATTTTATAATGCTCCTTCCAGACTCCAGGTGTTACGTCTGTGGTCCCTGCTGTGACCCTCGCTAGTGATTTTAGACACCATAAATTGAGGTTTTAGAGCGTTTTTAGCCCCCTCTTATGTCCCCGGAAAGA